AATTCGAGCAAGAATTCCAAGGGTCCCGGTCCACAGCCAGGTGATGCTTGTCACAACTGTAAGGAAGTGGGGCATTGGAAGTACAACGGTCCCAAGAGAAGAGGGCAACAGAAGAAACAAGGTTCTGTTGCCGTGGCAGAAGTGGACAATAGTTCTGAAGACGATCTCGCCTTGGCTGTAGATGAGAAGGCACATCGTGGTGATGTGTGGTTTCTGGATACTGCAGCCTCATACCATATGTCTCCGAACAGGGATTGCTTCACAACCTACGAGCAGATATATGGTGGTAACGTGGTCATGGCTAATGGAGCTGTCTGCAAGGTTGTTGGAATCGGGTCCATAAAGGTTCGGACACATGATGGTTCATTCTGTACCGTGAATGATGTCAGGCATGTTCCACGAATGACAAAGAACCTGATCTCCTTGAGTCTACTCGACAGCAAGGGTTTCAGCTTCAAAGGAAAAGGTGGAGTTGTGTATGTCTGCTAGGGTTCGAGGAAGGTACTAAAGGGCGTGAAGTGTGGGACCTTGTATGCATTACAAGGGTCTGTGTTGTCTGAGTTGCCTAGAGCTAACATCTCAAATTCTTGTAATTGGTAATCTTTAATTTGACGAATTTGAGGTTGAGAGACGACTAATACTAGTGTGAAATAGTGATGTAATGATTTATGTATAATTAAATGACGAATTTGGTGGTTGATGGTCGCGTAGTAGTGAATGAGAGAGTCTAGTTGAGAGGATTACTTACACACTAGCTTATATTTCGGTATTGATCGGTATTTCGGTATATACCGATCCCAATCCCGTAATCCCTAATACCAAATAACAATTGAAATCCAATCCCAATCCCAATCCCACAAAATAATACGTGTATTCGGTAATACCAAATATAGACAAATTCGGTACGGTATTCGGTATATCCCAAATACCGGTACCAAACTTCCAGCCCTAGCTGCAGTTGCATCGTCTCAGGTTCAACAGGAAGATATGACCACTCTCTGGCACATGAGACTGGGGCATATGAGTGAACGGGGGATGCAAGTTCTATCGAAGAGGGATCTTCTTTGCGGGCACAAGGTGCAGAATTTGGAATTCTGTGAGCATTGTGTGTTGGGGAAGCTACATCGCAGCAAGTTTCCCAAGAAGGGTATCCACCGGACGAAGGGGATACTGGATTACCTCCACTCCGACTGTTGGGGTCCTTCACGAGTTGAATCCATTGGAGGCAGCAGGTATTTTCTGTCTATTATTGATGATTATTCGAGATTTACTTGGATTTTCATGATGAAGCAGAAAAGTGAGGCTTTCACGAAGTTCAAGCAGTGGAAGACATTGGTGGAGAATCAGACCGGTAAGAAGATCAAGAAGCTGCGAACGGACAATGGTCTGGAGTTCTGTAATTCTGAGTTCAACGAATTCTGCAAGGATGAAGGGATTGCCCGTCATCAGACTGTTAGAGATACACCCCAGCAGAATGGCGTTGCAGAAAGGATGAATCAGACATTGTTGGAGAGAGCACGGTGCATGCTCTCTAATGTTGGACTAGAGAGAAGATTCTGGGCAGAAGCAGTAAACATGGCATGCTTCCTGATCAACCATGGACCACACACAGGTATCGAGTGTAAGACTCCTTATGAAGTGTGGTATGGTAAGCCTGCTGATTACTCTTCACTGAAAGTTTTTGGGTGTCCTGTTTATTATCACGTGGATGAGGGTAAACTGAACCCAAGGGCAAAGAAGGGTGTATTTGTGGGTTACGGAGATGGAGTTAAGGGATTTTGAGTCTGGTCACCTTCTGAGCTTCGAGTTATACTTAGTAGAAATGTGATATTTGATGAGAAGTCTATGTTTAACCCCATGTTGAAGGTTACTGTTGTTGAAGGTAGCAGGAATGTTGATAAACAGGTGGAGCTGCAAACTCTCAAAGAGAGTGAGTTTGAGCACCAAGGTGGAGAAGATCAACATGATGAGGATGTCTCTGCAGAGCCAGAAACTTCAGAGTCCAGTGCACGAGCTCAACAGTCTATTACTTCCGGTAGACAGAAGAGAGCGACTGCAGGAGTACCTCCATAGAGGTATGGCTTCGAGGACATGGTGGCGTATTCATTTCAGGTTGCTGAGGAAGTGGATGCAGGAGAGCCACAGTCCTATAGAGAAGCAGTTTCGGGTGGTGAAGCTGATCAGTGGCCTGCCGCAATGGGAGATGAGATGGAATCCCATGACAGGAATCAGACTTGGGAGCTAGTCAAACGACCACAGGGAAGGAAGATTGTTACAAACAAGTGGATCTACAAGAAGAAGGAAGGAATCACTTCTAAAGAGGGCATGAAATTTAAAGCTCGGGTGGTTGCACGAGGCTTCTCGCAGAGGGAAGGAGTTGACTACAATGAGATTTTCTCACCAGTGGTCAGACATACTTCAATCAGAGTGCTACTAGCAATAGTGGCACATTATGACTTGGAGCTCGAGCAGCTAGACGTGAAGACAGCTTTCCTACATGGAGAGTTGGAAGAAGAAATTTACATGACTCAGCCAGAAGGATTCGAGGTTCCGGGAAAAGAAGACTATGTTTGTAAGTTGAAGAAGTCCTTGTATGGGCTTAAACAATCTCCGAGGCAGTGGTACAAGAGGTTTGACAGTTACATGCTTGAGCTGGGCTACAACAGAAGTCCATATGATTGTTGTGTATATCACAGCAATGCAGATGATGGTTCGATGATATATCTAGTTCTGTATGTGGATGATATGCTCATAGCTGCGAGGTCAAAGTCTGATATCCAGAAGTTAAAGGGGCTTCTCAGTGCTGAGTTTGAGATGAAGGATTTGGGAGCTGCTCAGAAGATCTTGGGTATGGAGATTTACAGGGACAGGTCGAAGAAGAAGCTTTTCTTGTCACAGAAGAGCTACATCCAGAAGATACTGTCGAGGTTTGGCATGTCTTCAGCAAAACCCTTAAATACTCCTAGTGCTTCAAATGTTCATCTATCCTCAGCTTATGCACCGCAGTCAGAGGCTGAGAAGGAGTACATGTCGAGAGTCCCATATGCTAGTGCAGTATGTAGCTTGATGTACGCTATGGTATGCACTAGACCTGATCTTGCACATGCTGTTAGTGTTGTCAGCAGGTTTATGATACAACCTGGGAAGGAGCATTGGCAGGCTGTGAAGAGGATCTTCCGGTACCTTAAGGGTACACCTGATGTGGGGATTAGCTTCGGAAGTGATGTAGAGTGCTTGGTGTCTGGGTATTCTGACTCGGACTATGCTGGAGATGTTGACACGAGGAGATCGATGACCGGTTATGTATTCACTCTTGGGAGTTCTGTAGTGAGCTGGAAGGCAACTCTGCAGTCGGCGGTGACATTGTCTACTACTGAGGCAGAGTATATGGCGTTGACAGAAGCTGCTAAGGAGGGAATATAGTTGAAGGGACTGGTTGGTGATCTGGGTCTACATCATGATTAGGCAGTGGTGTATTGCGACAGTTTGAGTGCAATATGCTTGGCCAAGGATCAAGTCCACCATGAGAGGACTAAGCACATCGATGTGAGGTATCATTTCTTGAGGACAGAGAAGAGGATTAAGGTGAAGAAGGTTGGCACCGCGGATAATCCTGCTGATATGTTCACGAAGCCGGTTCCACATGGCAAGTTCCAACACTGCTTGGACTTGCTGAATGTCTTGAGTGGGTGACTCCGCCCTACGGGGCATTGATGGCGGGAGAGGGAGAAGGAGCAGAGTACATCAGAGATTTCAGAGGAAGAGGATTCAAGTCAAGGTGGAGATTTGTTGATATGACTTGAATCGGACTATCAGCCGCTACGACTGGTAATCGGGGGTCTCGCTATAGTGAAACTGGCTCTCTCTCGCCCGTGGACGTAGCTAACACACATCGTGTGTCGTGTTTTCGATTCTCGCTTTCGTATTCTTGCTTTGTCGATTCCAGCGATTTCCCGATCCGTAGCAGCGCGTTTATAACAACATCCAATCTTAACCCGATAGTTCAATTCTATTCACATCAACAATGTAAGTGGTAACACAAACTTTAGGGTGCTGCTAAATTTACATTGGTTCTAGAGTTCAAGTAAAAGTGAGTTTGAGTACACCTTAACCACGCATGCAGTTATTTGGGTTTTTCGAAAAAGGTGAGTATTGCTTTCATTAACATTGGGCAAGGCCAAGAAAAATGAGACCACTTACACAAGTTGGGTAAGACAAAAATACAACTAGAGAAGCAAAGGCCACAAGTTAATTAGTCACACCACTATACCAAAATTACAAATAGGGAGACATGCTAGTCCAGTAACCTCATAATCGAGTTGCACCAATACCTAAGAGACAGAGTCTGTCATATAATCTGAGTTGCGCCAATATCAATAACGGGATGAAGTAATATCAGTTGTAGATCAACGAAAGAGGCGAAACTCAGGTTAAACGCAACAAATAGTAAATCTTCACTACTACAGTGTGATGCCTCGACCTTGTTCGATCCGTCATATATATAAACTATATAACTACAAATTTCTATTGGTGTAGGCAAATTCATTTGAAACTGGTCAAGTCGGAAACAAATGAGACAAATTAAACAATTATCAGCAGGCACACGTAGCATATATCAAAATTTAGTTAGGATAGGGATAGACAAACCAACATTTTATTATTCTGTTCCCAAACGTCACAGGTACATATATAACTAAGTCCTCAACATCAAACATCAGAAGCTGTAATATACTTGAGAGTTGAGACTAATTAACACAAGCTCCATACACAACCCAATATCAAATACATTATTATTTATCCATCAATGATAATTAACATAATTACATAACATATAGTGACCAATAATAATCTCTCGTCACCCAATCATTTGAACAACCGATCACACTAATAAACGTACTTTGACTAGACAATCAACCATCACACCCCTGAGCAACCGCTGGAGGGGCCATAGCGGCCGGGCCGGGCCGGGCCGCCATTGGTGAATCGGGCTTTTGAAGGGTTTAGGTCCCTGTTCTTGAGCTCTCTCTACTCCTGGCATACAACACAAGGCCCGCAGCACCAGGGCACGCGACGCCTATATGCGCCAGCAAACAGAACAGAACAGAACAGAATCCCCGACGGAAAGCAAGCTGCATGCCACACAGTACCAAACGAGAGAGTCAGTCGATTGATAAGAGAATATTTCGTTTGCACAGGATCCTTAATTAATTAATATCAAAATACCACGTGGTCCACAAATCAGATTTCGAACGGAAAATTAACCTTCAAAGGGCGTACTCTAATATCATATCAAGAACCAAATTATTTAATATTGGATCCTCCTTAACAAATTTGAGCTGGGGAGACACTTACTTGAATCATTTCTGTCAAGGATGACAGCATTTTGGCCCAAGGTAATGCACGGGCAGCAACTTGTTTTGACGCAGCTGCCAGGATCCTCACAGCAGCCGAAGAGGCCTGTGGTCCATTTCCCAGCAGGAGCCGCCGGTGCACTAGGGTCGTTCATGTTGGCCTGAGTTGGATTCATTCTCCCGCGCGCTGGAACTCTTACACGTGATGATCGGACCGGACAGTAATGATTGATTGATTTAGCTAGAGAAAGAATGAATAGAGATGATGATACAGTAATATTAGAGGCTCGATCGGTGCCACTTACACTGCCTGAGAGATTGTCAAGGGGTGAAGATGATTTGGAGCAAAGTGGTTCCCAGTTCTCGCCATACAGCCTTTTTCAATTCTAGCTTTGAAGATTGGATTTCCTCTAATATTGCAGATGACTCTCTGGGTAATTAGAGAGGAAGCTGGGCAACTTACTTTTGTTTGGTGATGTGGTACGTTTGGAAGACTCGCAACGACAAGACCTCTAACGGCGTTCACATCGCCATGTCAACACGCCAGAACTACGTCACTGCCAAGGCTACCGAGTGGGTGAAAGTCTGGGAATCAGCCAACTCAAACCTTGAACTTTGCTCCAAGCCAGCATGGGTCGAAACTCTGATAAGCTGGACGATGCTGGCTACTGGCTGGTGGAAAGTGAACACGGATGGTGCTGCCCAAAGCAATCCTGGTATGGCCACTGCAGGGGGAGTCATTCGCAATTGTTATGGGGATTGGATAGGCGGTTTTTGCAGCAAGTTTGGAACCGGTTCGGCACTGCTAGCTGAGTTGTGGGGAATCATGCAAGGACTCAATTTGGCGTGGCGAAAGGGAGCTCAATTCCTTATTCTGGAGTCGGATTCTCAGTTAGCTCTTGACTTGATCAAGCAACGTGCGGATTCTGTTCATCCTTATTTGACGATTCTTGGATCTATTCGTCGTTTGATTGCTCAAAGTTGGGTGGTTCAACTAGTTCATACGTACAGGGAAGGGAATAGAGTCGCGGACTGGCTCTCGAAGCACAGTCTCGTCTATCCCTTCGGTACGTATGAGTTGGAAGAGCCTCCGACTGAGTTAAGTAGAATTCTTCAAGAAGACATTCAGGGGGTCTGCTTCCCAAGACAGGTGGAGAATGAATAGCTTCATTCCATGACTTCCGTTTTGGGCTTCTGGTCTTCCTGTTCAGGTGCTTTGTTTGGAATTTTTTATCTGCGGGCGCTGTTGTTAAAACGCTATGTGGCCAATTCCATTTCCACAACTAATAGTAATCAAAAGATTGAGACCGAGATTATATTGAATCAAGAGAATGTTCTTGTTTAAGCAGGGAAGAGAATTTGATAACAATATAGACTCAAATTCAGGGTTCTACGAACGAAAACAAAACCAAATCAAGAATCGAATTCAAGGAAAAGAAAGCAGTAGACGAGGCCACACCCAGATAAGCTTGAGTCCTTGGCTGCAAAGCCCAACTCAAGCTATCCAGACACAAACACCGAACCCAATCCAGAGACTCCCAAAGAACCAACCTGTTCTTACTAAGTCGAGGAAACTATCATCTTTCCTATTGACAGGAGCGGTCTTTATATAGGCAAAATGCAACTTCATTCCTCTGTCTTTTTCTTCTTCAATGTTCTTTACCGTTAGTAATCAAGGAAGAGAGCTGATGCACGATTGTCCAGTAGAGCTCCTGCATTTGACTATTTCAATTTTGATGATGGTGAATGGAGGCGAAGACGCGCCTTAGGGATCTTGACGAGATCAGATGAGACGCTGCGCTTCTGGTGGGCTTTTGTGACAGAGTGGGCTTCTTGGTTCAGCGGGTCAGGACGAGGCAAGGCCCAACAGCTGTTTTGTTTGTTGCTGTGTTGGGATGGCCTTCTCAATCGGCTGATTTATCCTTTTGTTTGCTGAGCAAATCCCTTGTGATGCTCGTGTACTTCCCTGGCTAATTGATAACAAAAAAATATATATTTAAAAATATAGTATATAGAATGTATAGCATTTGTGGAACAACATCGTGATCATATCTGTTGAAGCATGGGTTGAGATCTTTCATAATTTTTTGTATTTATTAATATATAACATTCATTTAATTATAATATTTTGATTGTGTATATGAAATCATTTAACACAGGATACTCGCTCTGATACAATTAAGAAGGGATTTTTTTCATCCAACATATATTCAAACCGATACTCAAAGGTACAATGTTCATCATGTTCTCGACTTTTAGTTATCGAAATATGGTCTGCTAAATTTTTTCCTACTTTTAGATAGTAGTTCAATCACTATTTTAAGTTGATCTGATTATTCCCCATCCCGCTTAAAATGATTAACCACCGTCTAAATTTTCAATCCCTCTGCTTGAACTTAATCGACATATTTTTGAAAAGGACTGTGAACGGTATCTCGCAATTCACAAGGGCTGAACCATTGTATTAATTCTAGCTATAGCTGGTTCGTGTCATCTTATAGCTATTGATCATATGCACCTTTAATTTCTTTTTTGTTTTTTTTTCTTGTAAACACCTGGACTCTTTCTATGAAGTCTGAATGAAGATTCGGTTTTTGTTTTTACTAAATTAATTTTACTAGGTGGTGATGCCGCGCCTTATCGCGGGGCGGAGATGGGCTGCGGGCATGTATTATGTGGCCCGTTATGGTATTTTGTTAGTATTATTAGCCTAAATTAATTTTTTATTAGTACTTTTGTTAATAATATTGAATGAGAAGAGATATATGGCGGTCAACATCCAATTTAAAAAATCTTGAAATAAGGGCATGTGTATGATATCCATTAATTTGAGGGTGCTTTAATTACACATACAAAAATTAGACCTATTTGTAGACTTCAAAAGTTTAGGCACAAAAATTTTAGGTACTAAAATGTAATGCTCCGTCAATATTTTGAGGACTTATATGCCAAAAAAATAAATTTAGGTTATAAATCTAAAGATCTATTAATTTTAGGTTATAAAAATGAATTTATAAATTTGCTCTTGCAATATTTTAGAGTCGTCTCGCTTTTATCATTTATTTAATATTTCACGTAATGAGAAAATATAAAATGTTCGAATCTTCTCCTACAGTTGAGTGATACAACATCTTGTATGATACAAACTAAATTTATATTTTTATGTTATGATGGATAGGATTCATGGATTGGTTCAAAAGGACTGGTGGATTGGGTTCACGTATTCAAGTGAAATCTAAATATTGGACCAATATATAAATTTTAAAAATTGTAAGTACGAAAATCTCATAAAATTTAGATACCAAAACATAATTGTTCAATTGTTTTACATTAAAATTAACGGTTGGAGCCAGCTCAGCATCGTAAAAGTTTAGTATCATTACTAACAGAAGTGTTAACGAAAACTTAACGGTTGGCTAATAATTTGTATTTTGATAGTTGTGGCCATAATTCCCCGATGCTTAATAATTATGGCTAATTTGTAATTTATTAGACAATTACTAATTTTTAATTTGTTAAACAATGACTCATTTGTAATTTGTTAAACAATGACTAATTTGTAATTTGTTTGACAACAATACCCAAACTTTAGGTTTATATATACTAACATTGGAGGTGAAAATATGACGCCTGACTGGTGAAAAATAGGAGGGAGTTTTGGGCCTTCAACCGCAAATATCTTCAAGATGTATTTTAAATCAATTGTTATGTGCGTTAGCCTCATGCCCTCATTTCAGGCCCAACTGGTTCAGTATTGGTGACTATATGCTAGTAGTTGATTCAATTATTCGTGACGCTTCAAAACATCAAATCAAATCAAAATATAAATGAAGGTTCTCCTCCAGCACACCCATAATCATAGTTAGTAAATACTCCGTTTAATATACATGTATGTACCCGTACGTATTTTATTCATTTAAAACTTCCGTATCCGTATTATTGCCAAGCCGTTTCATTTTTTTCCCGTTCATTTGATGGCTCCCGTACTAAACACGTATAGAATCCGTACATCACATTTAATATCCGTATTTAATGAATTAAATTGTTAACTTTACTATTATTTATATATTTATTTATTTTTAAAATAATTAATTTTATATATTTACGATTATTAAATGTAACATTAGCTCAATAACAAAGTATAATACTCAAATGTTGAATGGAACAATTTAGTGGTTAATGATTTAATAACAGTTAACTGTTATATAACGTTTAGCTATAATATAAAAGACATATATAATACATTAATTTATGAGTTAATTTATTAGTGTCCACAAAAAATTTCAAATCTATATTATTTATCACCAAAAAGTTCTAACAAAGCTTTCAAACTATCTCATAAAAGAAATAATAATTTTTTTGGATAAATACTAATTATTAGTCAAACATTTTCCTCATTTTAAAATATTATCCAAAAATTTCAAAATACAAAATATTAACCAAATGTTAACGTCCAGTTAGTGGTTTTGTTAGTAATATTGACATGACAACGTGATACTGATTTGGAAGAGACACATGAGTGACAACATTCCAAAATTTTAGTATTTTAACTAAGAAAAGAGTTACAAAATGATGAACGGTAATAGAAACATGGCTAATATTTTGATGTGTTACAAAAGATTTGCCTAATATTTTGTAATTTGAAAGGATTGATTGACTACTATATAATTCATAATTAGAGACATCCTGCTAATCCCACCCAACACATCCAGCCTTTTCTAGATGATTATTTGTTAGCTTATGAGTTATTGCATGTATTCTTTCTTCCATGACGAATGTCATTGTCGCTGCTCTTGTACTTTCACCCGCAAGTCATTATTCAAATGTTGTTGATGTCTTACTAAATTTAGTTTTTTCATGCTCGGTATCCCACTGCAATTGCCTCCGTACTTACATGTTATATGTATTGGTATTAGAATTTAATATTTTCAGTTCACATATATTCATGGTTGTAGAAGGATTGCATTATATTTAACTGCTACAATTCTTCAATTCTACCAATATAATATCCATGGTTATATATGTCAAGATTCTTATTTTAGAACGAGATAATTGGAATATGTAATTCTTTTTATTTACAATTTAAAGGGTAATGTCTATTTTGTATCCAAATCCTTTTCAAACTCTTTTATATTATCCAAACCTAATAAAATACTATTAATTAGCCAAATCTTTC